ATAATGATGATAATAATAATAATAACAATAGATAATGATTATAAGAATAATGATAACAATGATAGCACTAGTCGTAATTTATAAAAGTGATAGAGATAACAATAGAGCAATTTGTAGCAAGTGAACCGAGCGTTTCTGTGCCATCGGAATGTGAATACGCTTTAGACCAGACATATTCAATTTGACAGACGTAGAAATGATGTGAATACGGATCCATTATTTATGCTATGTAACTAATGCATCTACTTTATCTTAAAGTCATTATTCCTTCTCATTCGCATGCAGCGGCTTTCAATTTTAACCTTTGCTATTTGCTTTGCGTTTCTATACATGTCGCTAGAATACTTTTCGTTTTCCATATCATGTGTATATAGGATATGAAATGATATTCGATATCAGTCTGACAATGCTTTGTTGGGGCTTAAGTTATTGTAATCTAGATTCAGATAGATTTACCGTCGACATATATATATATAAATATATATATATATATATATATATATATATATATATATATATATATATATATATATATATATATGTATATATATATATATATATATATATATATATATATATATATACATACATACATATATATATTCATATATATATATATACATACATACATATATATATTCATATATATATATATATATATATATATATATATATATATATATATATATATATATATATATATATACATATATATATATATATATATATATATATATATGTATATATATATGTATATATATATAACTCTTTCAAATATATATATATATGTATATATATATATATATATATATATATATATATATATATATATATAAATATGTGTGTGTGTGTGTGTGTGTGTGTGTGTGTTATATATATATATATATATATATATATATATATATATATATATATATATATATATATATATATATATATATATATACATACATACATATATATTCCGGTAAACAACAAAAAGTAACTTGTAACATTTGACAAAGTCATAGGATATTGTTATCAAGTTATTCTATAGTTAATCATACTATATTGTTTGTTTCCCTTCCCTGATCATTTATAGTATTATGTAAAACAACGTGTTTATCACAACCGAAATCTCACAAATAAACACATTTAAAAGGAAATCGCTAACTCTATGAAATCAATGACAGATATTTTTCTTTTACTCAGCGACCTTCGGAAGTTGCAATAAACCAACGCCTTTCAATAACAGGTGGTACGCGAACGCATGCCAGAGCGAAAGAAGTTTGCTAATATATGAGATGGATTTAAGCGTGTGTATATGTGTCTGTGTGTGTAATAATGATAATATTAATGATAATGATAATGATAAGAACAATAATAATAATGATGATAATAAGAAGAACAATAATAATAATGATAATAATAAGAAGAACAATAACAATAATGATAATATTAGTTATAATAATAATGATAATAATAATAATAATAATAATAATAATAATGATAATAATGATAATAATAACAATAATAATGATAACAATGATAATAACAAGAATAATGATAATAATAATGATGATAATTTAATGTTTGGTGTGACAGGCTTTTTTGGCTTAAGTTAGATGACGGGGTTAGCATCCACTGGCGGGGTGGGAATTGAACGCGGGTCAGCGGTAAAGTGGATAGATGAACTGCGATAAAAGCATTTCAACAAAAGACATTTTATCGAAGAGAGAGAGAGAGAGAGGGAGAGAGAGAGAGAGAGAGAGAGAGAGAGAGAGAGAGAGAGAGAGAGAGAGAGAGAGAACAAAAGAGAGGGCGATGAGGAGACAGAAATGTATATAGTTTTGCCACAAATAGAAATAGATAACTGAGGTCTATTCCTCCCATGTTTACTGTAACAAGTTTCTGCGCTTCGTAACAATTTTTTCTGTGTTTAATACCTTGATGTTGATGTTATTACTGTGATATATTTACATCTTATTTCTCTCCCTCATTCTGTAATCTAAGTTTCTTCATTTTGTTTTTTTTAATACGACCTTTCCCTTTAATCAAACCTAGCAGTCCTATCTGATGTTATCTCTTCCCTCTGATTAACAAAATACCACCATTTCCCCTTATCACTCTCTCTCTGTCTCTCTCTCTCTCTCTCTCTCTCTCTCTCTCTCTCTCTCTCTCTCTCTCTCTCTCTCTCTTTCTCTTTCCCTCTCACCTTTTTCTCTCCTTCCTTCCCTCTCATTCTCTTTCTCCCACTTCCTTTCCCTCTCCCTCCCTCTCTTTCCTCCCCCCCCCTTCTTCCCTCTTCCTTCCCTTCCCCTTTCATTGTCTCCCCCCCAATTCCCTCTCATTCATTAATCTCTCTCTCCTTCCTTCTCTCTCATTCTCTTTCTCCCACTTCCCTTCCCTCTACCTCCCTCTTTTTCCTCCCTTGCCCTCCTCCCCTCCCTTTCCCTTTCATTACCCCTTCCCCCATTCCCTCTCATTCATCTCTCTCTCTCTCCTTCCTTCTCCCTCCCAG